GCAGCAGTTTATGGAAAGTTTACAGGTCACGAATACCCAAACAGAAAGAAACACAAACTACATAACCATATCTCTTCTCATGTAGCATCTTTCTATAATTGTAAAGCCAGATGTAAACACTGGCTCGCGTGCCTCATCTTCTCTCAGATGCAGTAAATAATCATCATAACATGCAACACACTATCTTATATCACTAATGAGCACAACTGTCATGCATACAAGATGAATTATAGCCTATACTATGATTGAAATTTCTTGGCAAGTGTACTTGGGAATGGGAATGGGAATGTGTGTGTGTGTGTGTGTGTGTGTGTGTGTGTGTGTGTGTGTGTGTGTGTGTGTGTGTGGTGTTTTTTTTTAACCGCAGCCAGAGGAGGGAATTTGCAGCTGTCAGTCCGGGAGGTTGGTGGAACAATAAGAAGTTTGTGCAACTGAGAGCATGAACGCAAGTGTGAAAGAGAGTTGGAGAGCAAGACGAACATTATTGGACATATTTGAGCGCATCTGTGTTTGTGTACGTCTGGGGGGTTGAGTTCATGTCACCCTCTACAGACTCATGACTTCTGTCCTCAACTAGTTTTCCCCCCTTTCACAGCTGTTAGTTTTGGCCTTGAAAGTCAGCGTGAGTTTCGTTGAACAATGAAAACAATCAGTGCGGTCCCATTGCCACTCCCCTCCCCTTTCCCCTTCTTCCCCACATCCTGAGCAACAGGATGTTATGGATTCGACATCAGAGATGAGTAAAGGGACATGGCGGCTGACCAAAACCCATTTTCCTTAACAGAACTGCCGGTACACAAAACCACGAGAGTCTATTGGTTGTACACTTTAATAAACCACCTACTGCCGGTTTGCTTCCTCCAACTATCGGTAGGAGTTGTTTGCAGTGAAAATCCCCTACGGTCAATATGCTGATCATAGGACCACAAACCACTTCCTATTTTGCTAATATTGTTCTCCATCTACTGTTTTCTGTTCTGCTTTTATAAACTTTCAGAAGCTATCTTTGTGAACGTATATGGCTGAATCATCACATATTTATTTCTTTTTATGTAACAACATTTTGGTTTGTTCCCATACTCTAACCACTGAATCCTCATACTCTCATTTTTAAAAAAGGAGCTGAAGCAGTAAGTCGTATTCCTCTATGATAATAAAAATGTATTGTGTTTGGGTTTTGGACTGTTAAGAAGAACATGCAAGACATCACCATGGTCTCTGGGAAAATATGATTTGTTACTGTTTTCTGACATTTAATCAAGAATATATTCTGCATAGTGATCAATAATGAAAAAATCTCATTAAAATCCCCCCCCCCCCAATATGACAAAACGTGTGTCCAGGTAGACCACTCCAAGAAAAAAGCAAAAGTAAAAAGAAAAGAAGCAAAACATAGTTAGAGCAAAACAAGAAATAGAAATTGCCAAGAAACTGAAGAATGGACTGAACCGCTGTGTTATATGCTGATCCAATAACACGTGCACATCTTTAAAGGGGGAAGGAACTGGCACACACAGAGCAAGAGTCACGTTCTGCCTACCCCAAACATGACGGCCAAACAAATGGTCAAAATGTCAAGCACAGTGCCTTGAGGTCAACAACACAAATGCACTCCTCCAACATCTGATCGAGCCCTGACACACCACGAGTCACATTAAGTCCATCTGATTCTGCAGCCATCAGTCAGCATGACTCACTCAACCCTGTCAGAAGACATCTGTGATCATATGCACATGCAACCAACAATACAGCCTCTGTAGACTTAACGAAACTCTGGTTGAAATGAAACCCAACACCTGCCATGACCAGACAAAAACTGAAACAACACATTTACTGTCAAAATGCACATCTGCTCGCACATCGAGGTAACACTGCCGTTTGCTGACAAATCAGTGAGATGCCACCAGTGCTGGTTTAAGCTGAGCGTGGCTTGTAATGGGATTGAAGCTTTAGCCCACTAATCCACTTACCTCCTAACACACACACACACACACACACACACACACACACACACACACACACACACACAAACACGCACGCACATACATACATAGACATACACAGGTTAAACCCTTTGTGGATTACCTGCACACCTTCAAGACAGCAGACACAATCGCAGTCAGCGTTGGGGAGCATGCATCAACAATCAAACAATTACATGGAGACAAGTAGTCAGGAAAGACTGTTCGTGGTCACACAAGGTGTTATTAGTGGTGGCACCTGGAGAGACAGCCCTGGGCCAGTGATACCTACACACATACTGTATAAACATAAACCGAGATTGTCCTAAAGCCCACGGAGGGGGGGGACTTACCTAACTGCATTATGTGCCTGCATGAAACCAATGTTTACAAGGGAAAAGCTAGTTTACTTGTTCACACTCTAGCTGACAGTTATCCCCACCCAAGCATTTTCCTACCAAAACAAGTTCACACAGGACCCACCGAACAGGTTCACTAGACGACAAACTTTGAAATCCCAGCTCGTATGAGAGACTACAACTGGAAGACCACCACCCTTTAAAACAGACTCAAATACACAAAACAGGCTCTGTGTACAAATGCGTGGTCAAACAAGTGGTGAGGTTTCCAATTACCTTTAAACTACACTCTTCTCTCTGGGACTGCTTCTCCAATAACAACCGTCAAGGTGATGAAATCTACTTAACTGCTTAAACTGATAAAAGTGCTTCCGACAGAAAGACGCTTAAAAACAAGCCCTAACCAGGTCTAATCAATTAAATTATTCTATTTTTTTATTTGAATACAATTCAAAAGGAGCTTTATTGGCAAGGGAAACAGACAATAACGTAGCCAAAGCAGGTGTGAAATATATGCATACCCAGATTAATAAGAAAATAGCTTAAAATAAAGTTTTACTTAAGAATTAAACACAGGCTTGTAGTTACAAAAACACAAATACAGTTAATAATAACTTTTTATTTTATGTAAGTGTGTCTAGGTCACTCATTGTGCCTCAGGTTGGGGCATATTAATACATATTGGGGGCAGCAAGATATACCCTGTCTCCCTCTCCTAGGATTACTTTTATTTTGAGTGGTAGTTTTCATCGTTGAAATCTGGGATTACAGAGTTTAATTTGTTAAAATAAAACATCCCTTACATCATCTAACGCTTTAACATTGTAGATATACGAGTAGAGAACCAGACCTGGTCTACTTCAGTGCTGTAAACCCGCCTGATCGTCTGCGTCCAGTCAGTCTGTCCTCCCTGTTGAACCATCTGGAGTGGTTAGCTGTTAGCATTTCACCCTGATCCACAAAAACCCCTCATGAATTGATCTGCTAGCGTTAATACACCAATCTAGGGCAACAGCGACGAGCAAAGAGCTGGCTCCATTAGCAAAAAAAAACACAGAGGCAGTAACAATAAGACGTGTGTATAAAAATGTCACTCACGAACAAAGACTCGTGTATCTGAGCTACTCGGTGGCGGTGCTAGTTAGTTAGTCAACGCTACTGCCCGGATAAATAACAATGTCGGAGATCAATTCAGCCCCAGTGGGCTAGAAAAAGCTCGCTCAGCAGCGCCCGCATGACCTGGTTTGGCTGTCCTGCTACGTTAGCATCACAATAACCCACACAGCCGAGCCGAGAGCGCGGCTAGCGTTAGCATAGCAACGATTAGCCCCACAGCGGCTGGAGTTAGCGTGTGTTCGGCTAAGCGGCACTTTGAGCTAACTCGGACGGTATTGGCCGTCTACAGCCGTCGGTACCGAGGACTCTTAGTAACGCAGCAGTGTGCTCGGTTGACAACGGAGCCGTCCGGGTCACGGTACCAACTTTTAACGTTAGCCTCGGAGAGTCGTGTTGCCGATCTGTCGATGGTGTGACCACTCCTTGCCAACGCTGCAGTGCACCCGCTATCTACTGGTGGTGGTGGGGGGGAAACACCGCGGCCCCCGAGCTACAGCAACCATCTGGTAACATTTATGAAATTGCCTCACCTGCTCGTGGAAAGCCTGCCCCGGCCCCTTTCAGACTATTCCGTGTTTTGGTTTTTTTTGTGTGTGTGTGTGTCTTTTTCTCCCCTCTTTTCCCCTCCTTCCCTGGGTTCTGGGTCAAGCTCGTTAAAGACGAAGCGACATCACCGAGTTTTCTATCAAAGAGAGGGCGGGATCAACGAGACGTGCTGGCGGCGCACGCAGCCTTCCTCTTCCTCACACAGGTGTTTGTCACAAGTTTTCTACACGGAGCAAGTTGTTCAGAAAAGCCAGGAGCCGGATTGTGGATAAAGTCTTCCTGCCAAGATAATACACACACAGACTGATATGAGCAAGGCCTGTGATTGTAAAGATGGGGGGGGGTTAAACTCAGTTGCAGAAGTAGAATAAAGAAGCTGCCTCCCACCGCCTCCTCTCTCCTCCCACTTATTCCCGTTCCGTCGCTCTCCCTCTCCCTCGCATAAACTGATGTCATTTCATTGATTGCCCAAGAACAATAGCCCCGGAGGAAGCAGCATTTCTCTGGGAAGTAACTGCATTCCTCACCGACACGACAAAAAAAACCCCACTACAATATAAAACCACGAGCAGTGACCATCACATCCTGCGCATGCGCCCTGATCAGTAAATAGCTTAATGGTAAAGAGTAATCACTTGACATACAGTATATGAGTCATGCTTGACCGCTAAACTATTTAGGGAGCACTGTTGTGACTGTAAAGTTGTCCACTTAAATGCATGTTATCTCTTTATTTGACCGCCTTTACAGTTGATTATTGTACCGCTTGCCCTGTCTATTAATATATTTATGGGTTTAAAGTTTAAGGGTGAAATCAAAGCCAAACAAGTAGAAGTGTAAGGAACAATACTTGAGTGTGGGCAGGGTGGAAAGAGGAACAATGCAGGGAATTTCCCCCAGTTTCCTTATGAGTCCCCCCCACAGTGCTACAGTGTGTCAACCTGAGTCACAATAATCACTGGGAACCAAAACAATGCTGCTCTCTAGAGGTGCAAAATCATACGAGACTTGCCAGGCATTGAAAGCTGTTAAAAAAACACACATTTATTCACAAATTTCATATCCAGATTACAAAACACAGACAGAATCCACATTAGATGTATTATTGCCTAGTCTGAAACTATCAGGGAAGTACAAAATGAGGAAGCTGCAACATAGATAACATTGGAGGTAGTTTGCTTTCTAAATGAAACACACACATACACAAATTAAATTAAAATGCGCTCTCCGTATGCCAAGGTATGCAGCTCAATATAAAGTAAACCAAACTTTATTAATTCTCAGTAAATTGTAATGTTCAGATTAATAAATCCAAGTCTAAAGTTCAGTCAGTACATCTGGGAGAAACTGCTACTTTTAAACTTTTAAACCACTTTACATTAGCACACTTGTAACTGTGTGTATTGTACCTACAGTAGAGCCGGGCACTATGGCAATATACACCACGACCCATCACATCATCACTGGATTTACACCGGGCTATCCCTTTAATATTTGTATTAGGTCAATGTGGACAAATCAATGACTGCTTTTGTGGAAACATCGGACTGACAGGACAGTTGCATCAATGTGATACTTTAATTTGAATACCCTTAAAGGTCCAGTGTGTAACATTTAGGAGGATCTATTGGTAGAAATGGAATATAATACTGTGTATAACTATGTTTTCATTAGTGTATAATCACCTGAATATAAAAATAGTGAGCCGTTTCAGAGGCCGACGTGCCGAACTGCTCAAATGTTTCTAAAGTAGTTCAGAACAAATAAACCAAACACTGGCTCTAGATCTCGGCCACCGTAGTTTTTCAATGTGCAACTACACCACTAAATACCACTAAACCCTACACACGGGACCTTTAAGTTGTCAGGCAGTTAATTAATTGGATTACCCAAACAGACATTCATATAAACGGTTTCTCACACATTATAGAAAATCTCTTTGTTGAGTATTTACTATAACACAATACATATCAATATTGTGACACAATACATTTATTTATTGCCATCCCTAACTGTACCATGTTTACTTTAATGTCACTGTCCATGTTTCTGTGTATCTGTTGTACACTTCCATCCACGTCCCCTCCCCGCCCTGCACAAGGTTTCCTCCAATAACAATTGAAAAAGATTCCCATAAGTCAAGATGACAACTTATTTATCTAGCATTCAGCTACAGCTGTATAATAGGCAGAGTTTGTTGTGTCAGGAGCATTTACCAAATCTCAATGAAGGTACTGTATATTATATTTGACTGAGGCATAACGAGAGGCATCCAAGTTTGTCTGCTTTTCAGCCAGAATATAAAATATTCACACTAGCAGTCCCTCGAGCCAGGGAAGAAAATAAAAAGGCATTTTAGTTTTTAAAGTTTTTGTCCTATTGCTGGTTTTGAGTAAAAAAAAAAACGCACGTCACATTGAATAGAGATCATGCTTCCTTATTTTGAACCACAACAGTCCATCGATTATATACGTCGGCGTACTTTGACCCATGAAAAGCTCCTTGTGCGGTGGCAAAAGTAGAAACACAAAAAAAGGACAAGAGCATGAGATACTGCCACGGGAAACACACTCCCCCCCAAAAAAACACATGGTGGCACAAATGTCAGTTAAAGTAACATGCTGTAAAAACGTTTGTATCTTTCCTGGTCAGAGCACTCCGTTGGTGTGTGTGATCATGTGCCTGCGCAGGTTGCTGGGGTTGTTGAAGCTGGCGGTGCACTGGTTGCAGGTGTACGGCTTCTCTCCGGAGTGAGTCCTCAGGTGGATCTTCAGGCTGCCGTTTTGCGTGAAGCGTTTCCCGCACTGCATACAAGCGTACGGCTTCTCCCCGGTGTGAATGCGCATGTGGATGGTCAGCGTGGTCTTGTTGACAAATGACTTGCCGCAATAGGAACAAGGAATGGGCGACTCCCCGGTGTGAGTCGCCCGGTGTACAATTAGGTCTTCGCGGCTGAGGAAGCGCTCGCCACAGAAGCTGCAGTCCAGGGATTTGTTGACGGTGTGGGGGAAGACGTTCTGCTGCTGGGGGAACTGGCCGACATGACTGGGGTGCCCCACATGATCATCAGCTACTGCTACTGGTATTTTCAGCGCTGTTGAAGCCAGTCCAACACTGTTATCCTGCATCACTCTCATCGGGGCCCTGTCAGTGGCACCGGTGGTGAAGTTCAGGAGACTGTCGTGGGTGACGTTGTGCTCTGGGGACAGAGAGCTAAAAGCCTGGAGTTCAGAGGCGGTGAAGAGGGTGTCGCTCGCCTCCTGCAGAGGTCCTTCCCCTCGTCCATGAACGCTCACGATTCTCAGCTCCTCGTGATTACCTGTCAGGCAGGAGGACTCTAGAGTCCCTGTGTCAACACCACCCTGCATATTATGGTTTCCATAATCATCCTGACCTAAAAAGACACAAACATAAAATTACGTTATAGATTAGTGTATTAAACTTGTACTAAAGACTGTGACTTAATGAGTCAAAAACATCTGTAAAGTCTACATGTGATTGTCAAGTGCTGTAGTGATTTCTACCAAAAATGCCCTTCCTCGAGTAATCAGCCAAGGCTTGACTCTAAACCTTTATGTTCAATCTATTGTGTTTTAATACAAACTGTCTTGTAATAAAAGCCCCAATCTAGAGCCAGTGTTTGGTCTGTCTTTCCTGGGCTACTGTAGAAACACAGCAGACTCCATAGACAGTTAATTTTAACGCAACCAAAACATAACAATTCTTATTTTGAGGCAATAAAAACATACCTATGAATATTAAAGTTAATTTATATATAGATCCTCCTAAATGTAACACACTGGACCTTTAAGGGATGATGTCTTCAACTGTGACAGATACGTATACGTCAGCAAACCTCACAAGAGGGTCGACTGAATAATGTATTTGTACTACTGACAATACTAAGAGTTGTCTGTGCAGCCGCTGCCTGATGTCATTTATGGCTTTGTGCCAGTGACAACAAAAGCACATAAATGAGTTGTACTTTGGCGTCTGCTGCGACATGTTCCTTCGTTACAAAGAACACCATCAGTCCTTCCAGCCCCAGATCTAGTCACCTGGAAGTCAGCAGCTTTTGATCCAGCAGATGATCGATAACCTAATCGACGAGGGTCTGCTGGCGCGCTCTTGAACAAGAAATAGAACTCCTATCAGCTCAAGAGGGCTTACTAACTAATAACTGGGTATTACACATGATTAAAAACAAATCTACTCACCATCGGCTGGCCCACATCCCCCAACGTCGTCTTCATCTTTGATCAGGATGACATCTGGACTCTCCACATCTGCACACTAACAAGTAGGTAGGCTTGAGCAAACCCAACACACCTGATAGGAAGCTGAGTACATGCAAGGCACAGTATGCTGTATTTACCTTCACTTGAGTGGCAGAGGAGGTCGTGTTGTCTGATTGTAGAGAAACAGAAGCAGCTTCCCTGACAGTCTTTTGGGCCACTGGTGGCTTTATGACAACTAAAGGAAATGAAAATGAATAATTTCAGGACCACAGATTTCTAACCGGATAGAATATAATTATAATAATATATTAAATGAGCACGTTGACAGCCACGTGTAATTAGATAATACTCAATTAACCTCAGTAATTAACTTTATTAAACGATGTAAAGTGAATCAGATCAAACTCATATTTCATAAACTTCAGGGCACGAGGGGGATCTGTGGAAGTCGTGTCACGTGACAAGGAGCCGCCTTTATTTATTAGCAGTTTATTATTATTATTATTATTATTATTGAGTTAATCTGGTTTTAAGTTTAAAAGCTAGAGTCGGACAGTGTGTCTTTAACTGTAAACTAAGGAGCGTTACTTGTTACTCGAGTACGAAGTATTTTTTAAAGTGAAAGTACTCGTTACCTTGTGATTTAGCTCGTGGTTTGGGGATGTTTCCTCTGATCGGGGAAAAGCGGCTGACCGGTCGGTTCGTCCTGGTCTGCAGTCTGAGGGAGAAGACCTCACTCCTCATCACCTTCATCCTCATCCTCAGGGCTTCGTTTTCCTTCAGGCTCTGTGTTAAATGCAGACGGAGAGACGCCGAGCTCTCCGAGAACAGCTGACTGATTTCGGTCACCGCCGCTTTCACCAGCACGTCCATGATGGACAAAAGCTGGGACTCCAGGTTCAGGCTGCCCGGCGGCATGTCTGTGGACATGTTTCACCCTGCTGCCGCCGAGAAATATGTTGGGAAAAAAGCGCAACACAGTCGGTGCGTTAGCTCACAAAAGAGACAACACAATGGCCTTTCCGGTAGCATGACGCTCATTACCGTAACTCCCTGAATGCGGGCGCAGTGCTGGTTGATTTGTCTGGTTTCTGGTTCACTGATTCTTGTTCTGCTCAAGCCATAACCATCATCAGTAGTTATTCTTAAAGGCACAATTATAGTTTGGTCTATAGCCTAACTGAGATATAGTAGTAATCATAATAAATAATAGTGTTTATAAATGTAACTCATGTCAACTTTTATTACCAGACTGACACTGTTTTTTAAAGGGTTTTAATGTAGTTTTAATATTCTTTTCATTTTTAGTTGTTTCTTAGTATTAGTTGTTATATTTAGATTAGATCAGATTATGGTTTATAGTTTATAATTTTTGTAATCGTTTGTAGACCTCAGACCATACCTTTGAACAACATACAACCACAACAGCTTTACTACTGATTATTACAATACAAAAAGAGAGTAATAGCCTCAACTGGCTCAAACTCTCTCTTAGTGTTTTTTTTAACCATTTTGACATAAGTTCAGAAATAAGAAAAATCCTTTCAGACAAATTATCTCACAGATACAGTAAATTATTACCCTCATAAATCAGATCTCTCACATCTCACATACTTTAATTGTATTATACTTAAATAGGAGTATCATTTGTGTACCGTCCATCATATTGTTGTGAGGTATGTTTTGGGTCATTGTCCTGCTGGAACACCCATGACCTCTGACGCAGACCCAGCTTTCTGTCACTAGGCCCTACATTACGGGCCAAAATCTTTTGATAGTCTCCAGATTTCATGATTCCTTGCACACAATCAATGCACCCAGTGCCGGAGGCAGCAAATCAACCCCAAAACATCTTTGAACCTCCACCATATTTGACTGTAGGTACCATGTTCTTTTCTTTGTAGGCCTCATTCTGTTTTCTGTAAACAGTAGAATGACGTGCTTTGCTAAAAAGCTCTACATTAGTCTCATCTGTCCACAAAACATTCTCCCAGAAGGATTGAGGCTTACTCAGGTATGTTCTTGCAAACTGCAGTCTGGCTTTTTTATATCTCAGAAGTGGGGTTCTCCTCGGTCTCCTGCCATAGTGCTTCATCTCATTCAGATGACGACGTATGGTACGAGCTGACACTGTTGCACCCTGAGTCTGCAGGACAGCCTGAATTTGTGTGGAAGTTGACTGAGGTTGTTTATCCACCATTCGAACTATCCTGCGTTGCATTCTTTCATCAATTTTTCTCTTCCATCCACATCCAGTTAGATTTGCCACAGTTCCATGGGTTATAAACTTCTTGATTATATTGCGCACAGTTGACAAAGGAACTTAAAGATCTCTGGAGATTGACTTGTAACCTTGAGATTGTTGATATTTTTCCACAATTTTGCTTCTTAAGTACTCAGACATTTCTCGGCTCTTCTTTCCATGCTTGGTGTGGCACACACAGGCACACAACACAAAGGTTGAGTCAACTTTTATACACTCTTAACTGGCTTCAGTTTCGATTTCTATGTTGCCAGCACCTGTTACTTGCCACAGGTGAGTTTAAACAAAGATCACATGCTTGAAATGAAATTATTTACCCACAGTTTTAATAGGGTGCCAATGATTTTGTCCAGTCCATTTTTGGAGTTTTGTGAAAAATGATGTCAAATTTGGCTTTTTTCTTCTGCTTTTTTGTGTTGTCCCAATGCACTTAAAGGAAATAAACATGTGTATACCAAAACATTTGTAATTGCAACACTTTTCTGGGAGAAATGGTGCATTTTCTGGAAAAGTCCCAGGGGTGCCAATACTTTCGTCCATGACTGTATTTTTGTCTCTCAATTAACTTCACACACACACACACACTTCACAGGTCCATCATTTAATTAATAGTTTTCTATAAACACAGCAAATGGATGAATTGAATTCATTTCTGCTGCATGTGCTCAAAACAAACATATACAACAACCCAGTAGTGAATGAAAATAAAAACAACACAGCATAGTACCCTTTCAACTTCACATTGCCAGCATCTGAGTCCAGAGTCAACCTGATGTGCCTCTTTACTGTTCCAGTAGTCAATCCAACACCAAACTAAGACTTACTCATTGTAGTACTGCAACCATCAACACTATTTTTGGTCTTTCAGTCTTCCTATTTGTTGCCAGTATTTTTCTACTCCGCCTCGACTAACACTCCTCCTTCTCCCTCCATCTCACAGCTGTTTGGGGCATTTTCCTCCTCACCAACTCCCTCAACCTCTGTAACATCTCCTTGTTTCTCCTCCTGGTTCCCGTTCTCAGTAGCTTCTCCCTCGTCCTTCTCCGGTGACACCTCCCCTGCTGCATCTTCTCCTTTCTCTCCTCCCTCATCACCAGCCTTGTCTTTCTCCTCCTTTTCTTTGTCCTTCCTCTCTTTCTCTATTTTGGAGAGGCTGTGGCAGAGGGACTGGACATATGTGAACACGCACATGGGGTCCGGGTGGTTACCCATCATGAGCATGTCACCCACTTCCAGCAGAGGGCAGCAGTCGGCCAGGGACCTGCCAGGGAGGGAGGTGACAGGGAGGGAGAGAGAGGAAAGAGAGAAAACTAAAGTGAGACATAGCAGTGACATATAGTAACTACTTCTACAGATAGAGGAAATGTCCTCTCTGTAATGCAAGAGGTTCAAGGGAAAGTTTAGGAAAATATCAGGCTCTTTAGCTACTAAATGCTCCACTGCGTTCACCAGCTCATCACTAACTGTGCCTGTCTGCTGTTTGGTGCTGCACAGATTGTGTACAATGGGTTTTTTAGAGCTTTTTCACTGAAAATGACACCATGAGAGCAGTGAGACTGAACTGTAAACACAGTAAAATTGTGAGCCAGACAGCTAAACAATGAGCAAACAATGATTAAACTCACTATAAAGCTTTGTCACATTGTTTTCACATTGTCATTTGATACATTGTTATTATTAAAAGTAGTTATTATAGCCAATAATTTAAGTCTAATACACTAAAAAATCATCCCTATTCTTATTGCTGCAGTTTTTCCTTGCTTTTATCACAGAAGCCTTTTATTGTATGTGAGTATATAATATACAAACTTTTAATGTCTTCAATTGTCTTGGTGTTATTTTGTTAATGATTGATGTTTTTATGCAGTCTTGCTGCAAAACAAATTTCTTCTTGCTGGACAATAACGATGTGAGCTGTACTGAGGGAAGAAATTAAGGAAAGAAAATTAAATACTCTGCAGTTTGGAAGGCCAAAGTGAAGTTCTTCTCCCTCTCCTTTGGATTCAGGGAGCTGTAGTCAAAAGCATCGGGAAAGAAACGATGGATCAGAGCACAGAACGCCAGCCCATCAGACCAAGACGATGAGAAGTTTTCTATGTCGACGCCCTAAATGGTCAAAGGACGGGAAGAAAGCACACTATTATTTTGTAAGTCCTCTGGTCCCAAAACCACAACAACAAATCTGGAAATTGGGGGCATCTGATGTAAAAATGACCTCATAGTTGCGAGTCTTGTTGCGACACCACTGAAGCATCTTCTGTTTGATCGAAGCTCCTGTAGCCATAGCCGTAGACGACTTCTGAATCTTGAAGTTGCGGGGCATTGGTGTCCTGAAAATGTCACAACATTGCACCGTTTCCTTTAACAGATCTTATTTTACTGTCACTCTTTAAGCCTATTAGAAGTACTGGGTATCACACAATGACTTACTCTGGTGCACCTTGTTGGAACTTGGCGATTATGTCGTTTCTAGCGGATGCTCTGATAGAGCGCGCGGAGGGTCTCGGTCGGGAGAGAGAAGAGGGAGGACCACTCTTTCTTTTGGGCTTCCCTTGCTTTTCTGCCTCCTTCATCTTTCTTTTGTCTTTCGTCTCTACATCCACTTCCTTGACTTGTGTTTTCTTCTCTGCCCCTTTTTCTGCATTTTCATTCACATGTTTTTCTGTTTCTTTTGCCTTTTCCTCTGTTATACTCTTCTCTTTCTCTTTGTTTTTGTCCTTTATCTCCTCTCCATCTATCCCAGTCTCACAGTTCTTGACCTCTTCCACCTGTGCACCTTTCTTGTCTTCCTCCTTCTTTCTCTTCTTATCTTTTTCTGCATTCGCCGGTTCAGTATCCTTCACGACAACATCACTGGAGGCTTTATCTTTATCTTGTCCAGCCTCTCCAGTGTCACCTTCAACATGCTTTGATGCATTAGCCTGGGGCTTCTCTGTGTCTTCAGCACAGGTCTCCTCTTCTCCTCTGTGTTCTGGTTCTGAATCCTCCTCCCCCTTCTCCCCCACCTCCATTACCCCCTGACCTTCCACTGTCTCCCCTGCTGGAGGCTCTCTTCCTGGGTGTTTACTCTCATCCAGCTCTGGCTCATCTGTCTGGAGGACAAGCAACAAAAAATAGAGTTTAGTTATGCTTGTCACTTACAGTAATTTCCATTTAAAAAATATGACCACTCTACTTTGGCCACAAGTGTGTTTTTGTTTGAAGTTGTTGGTGAAATGAAAACATATGTATATTTGTTTTAATCTCACATAACTCCCCCTAGATATTTTGTAATATTGTATATTCTGATCAGATCAAGAGGAGGATAACATGTTCACTTATCATTGTGTCGAAATATAAAAATATCAACATGGCTGAACCAGGGGGGAAGCACAGCTGTAGCTCAAAACAGTGCAAAATATATGAATTCATTCTTTAATAATATTACTTTACTATTGTTTTGTCTACTATTCTGGGAGTGAATGAAGAATGTTAGAGTCCTATGATGTGCAAACTACTACAGACATTTGAGGACTAAAGGAATTTTGGCATGGCTGTGGTCAACCGATAGATATTTACTATTCTTACACAATACTTATACAATATACAATAAATAATGTAAAAGCCTAGTGTGCAGGATTAAGCGCCATCTAGTGGTGTGATTGCAGAACCCTCTCTTTACCCTCCCTGTCAAGTCTGTGAGTAACTACAGTGGCTGTGAAATGCGTGAAAAACGCAAACGTGATTCGACATGACAGACTCCATGGAAGGCGACCTGCGGCGTCTGTAGATAAAAACGGCTCATTCTAACGTAACAAAAACTTTATTTCATTATACACTAATGGAAACATACCTATGAATATTATATTCCATTTCTGCCAATGGAGCCTCCTTAATGTTACACACTTTTAAATTATATGTATCAACATCAATTAAAGGACATATGTACATGAGTGGAGGCCTGACACATTCTGTTGTAATCTGCTTCTATCCTACACTGCAGACATCAATTTAAATTTCAGTTTAATTGGTTGTAAGATGAAACAAATGTGGCGACAATCTTGTTTGAACTGTTCAGAACATGACTTCTGTTTGAAAGGAAACATTATGTAAGATGTACTAAAATTAGTCCACTTTACTCTCGGGATTTCATGGTCCTCAAACTGAAGAGCATAATGTAATGTGAGACCTGAAGCTCTACTCTGGGATTTGTTGAGTATCTCACTTATTTAAATACAGACCAACAGGTTGAACTTTCAGATGGAAAATATTTTTAAATCCCACCTGAACCTAAAATACAGGTCATATCCACAACTAATCAAAGAACAAAACCCCTTTGGTCCTCTACATTTGAATATCATTAATCAAAATTGTTTCTTTTGGCGTAAGTGCTATCAATTAATCTATCTCCTCCTGACAAAATCCAGCATTTTAGAGATTCATGGAATAATACTTGAAATGCTGTCTAGTAAAATGTCAGTATTATGACCTACTTCAGGAACAGTCACACCAGGTCAGGCCTTGCAGCGGTGACTCATCAGAGGGAATAGGAAACTCCACCGTGTGTATTTTTTTGTGTGCGCATGAGCATTACTTTGTGTAACTTGTGTCTCTGTGTGTTACGTTCTTTAGCCAGGGGTAAGAACAGGTGTAGCACAGTCCTGCTGTTTAAACACAACACCTGCCATGACCACAAATACTCTTACTGCCTATTCATGTATCTTATAACACCACTCATGTGAAAACCTTTATGCCTGCAATTTTATATAACATGCAAAAAACACAAACCTGGTTGTTGTTGTTGTTGGTGTCAGTATGAGTGGTCGTCTCTGTGGACCCGGATGTCTCCTGGCTGGGCGATTCTCCATCCATGATGCTCAGAAATGTCTGTTTATCCAATGGATGGAAGGTCAAATCAGACGTCTTCTTCACTAATGCCCCAAGACTCTTAGATGATCTCTTTTGTCTTCCCTAGAAAGTTTTCATTCAGTCAAAGGTGAATCCTCTTCACAGGAGCCCTGCTTAATGTCTTTCTCTCTGCTTCTCACTACTCTACTTTGCTCCCTGCCTCCCTTTCTCCCCTTCTCTGTCAGCACTGCCCCGTGTTTGTGATGTGTGTGTTGGTTTGTGGATATCCGCCTTCACCCCCGTTCACCCGACACCCCCACCCTCTGCTTTGTGAGGATTCCTATGCTTCTTTATCTGACCTTTTGGACAACACAGGATCCCGAAATAGAGTCACACTGACATAGGCACAGTCCAACGCACCAGACAGCTGCGTCTGCTGTGGAAACCATGGCTGTACACACACACATACAATACACACGTGGGTGCATGCAGGCCTTAAAGCATGCTAACATGTCACAGACACAAAACTGCCACTGTTGATTTGTTGAAATACACATATTCGCTTTATTGCCAAGAGATGGAAGAGAACATTGATACCACTTTCATGTCTGTACAGTAAATATGAAATGACAACCAGGAGACGGGTAGCTCAGCAAACTGGAAACGGGGAAACTTCTTGCAAGTGAAAACAACATCTGCTTACCTGCACTATTTCCTGGGAGGTCACTGTGCTCGGCCCAGCACATAACTCACCATCTTCCTTTGGATAAAACAAACAAGATACTTATTACAAGATAAAACATTGATTAGTGAGCTTCATGCTATGCTAAACTATGCTAAGCCAGAGGTGAGAGTGGTAATCTTCTCACCCCAACTCTCGGCAAGAAAACAAGAAAGTGTATGTCCCAAAAACTAAAAGTATAAAACACCAAATTAACATTTTCATTACGCTAAATGTGAATGAGAGTACTGCTCTTATTGTTGTAAGAGTCAGTTTACAGGAGCTGCTCACGCTCCCAAATTCCAAGAGATATTACACACACATTATCTTTTGGGAGTTATTCATCAAAGTCACCTAAACTTTACATCTTTTCCATCACTTTGTACTAGTTTTCTATTTTGCAGTTGTAATCAATAAAAAAATACTTTAATTAATAGTTATATATAACTTTGCGCATCTTGTTGTTCTGCAATTTCTTTCTGTCTGTTCTCCCATTTGACCTTTTGGCCTTGACCACCATTATTTAGCCTCTCAAAATATAGTTCTCTTGTGTATCTTTTCATCCTCCCACTCTACAGTCTTGATAATAATAACATCAAATGTTCAAATTACAACTATATATAAAGCAGATACATGGCTAAAGAAGACTAGATCAGCTTTTCAACTTGGCATTCTGGATGAATATATCTACTCATTCAACACAAAACAGATGGTTTTAAAAATAAATGTCTATCTTTATTCCCACTCTGTCATTATCTTTTCCTACCCCCCACGTTCTTCTCCTCCTCCCTTCTGTCGTCTTGGGGGCTATAAATATGTCAACGCTTTCTTGTGTATCTCTCCCACTCCCTCCAGCTCATGGTCTGAACATTAATGCACAACTAAGCATCTGTTGCACTTTTAAAAACTTTTGTGAAACCAGAAAACAATTGTAATGGATGACGAAACTGAGTGTTTTTGTCCTAGTGTGTGTTCATGGGTGAAGGGTGAAGAGTCAAATGATAACAATTATCGTTATTTTTGCCAGCGTTTAAGGATAAACTCAAATTATTTTCTTTACTTTGAGTGAAGTACCTCATGCCTGTCACATTCTCCTCGCTTACTCTCCTCAGTGTGTGCGTCAGAGCTGCCTTGGATGCCCCGCTTTATAATGTGTTGTGGTTAACCATGCTTCCTGTTGTCTTCTGTTTCTTGGACTAAATGCATAAGAGTGGCAGCATCCTGGTATGAGGTAATTGTTTTTCACTGTCACACATGGCAAAGTCAAACTTTTGTAGACAAGTCACACAAAGAGGAAGATACTGATTAAAAAGCATCAGCTCAGTTTTTAAAATGGTCTTCGAGTGACAAATCTATAGGTCAGCATGAAAAAGGATATTTAAAATTGTCTGACAGTTAAATCAATCAGCTTAAATTTGCCAGTCTACCAACCTCTTATACCAAAGGAAGTCTTAATTGTTGTTTGACTTTGATGCGATTCTGACTCACATTCAGACAGTACAGGTCTGTACTCCAGAACTGAAATAGTGCTGTAATCACTGCAGCCTTCGTGCCAAAGATGTTTCCTGAATTGGCGTTTTATTATTTTGGTGAAGAACACCGTCAGACAGATCACTAGACAATTAATTGGAGATCTGGCAACTGCTGAGGCAAAAATATATAAGTCATGTCATTTTCATGCTCAGACCATTGAATAAGCCTTTGTGCCCTGCATTGGGACATACAGCCTGGGAGAGATAGCTGCATGTTACAGCTGATAATGAGGTCAACTGGGCTTGCCATGTTAAGATAATATAACAGGATAATGTGCTGTCAAGGTTCTCAAATCACAAGACAAACATGATCTTTAGTCTTACAACTTCAAAACCTATGTTGTATCATAGGACATAGTCAAGTTCTTGTTTGGGGCCACTGCCTTAAGATATTAGGTACAAAAGGTGCTCAGTCACCAGAAGCTGCAATCAGATGCGCATGTCAAAGACTAAACTACCTAAATGCAATTTAAACACTTTAGGCCATTTATAACTCCTTACTTTCATTTTGCCAGGTTCTTTTGCCGACACCCATTGTTTGGCAATCACGCCAAAGCCTTAGCCCCAGGCAACCAGAAGATATTCATCCATTTGGTGTCTGAAAGTGGGGAGCGCCATCTGATTTTGGAAGTGTACTACCACATTTAAAGCTGGAGGGTTATCTAAAGCTTCAGGCATATGGCCAGCACCAGCCCATCCAAAACCCTGAGAGTCATTGCAATCAGGTTCTCCAAGTTTGTGCATACGTCATGAAATGTTATGCCCGCTTTAGAGTGAAAGACTATTCTTGCCATGTAGTATTACAATAGCAAGAGTGTTGCCATGTTCATTCATAGTTCTACAGACGGAGCAGGGCCCCACACAGAGCCCTGACATTTAGTTGTCAAATTCCTTCTGAGGGGCTCTTACATGCAAAAATCAAATAAATAATCTTAAACCAGAGTATTTTACAGTATTTATTCAGAAAGCATTTTTCATACCGTAGTAGCAAACCTGAAAGAAAGAGCAACATTAGTACAAGTAACGGCATGGCCCGAGAATCATTTGTGACTACACATTTAATATACACCTTACCTGCATTATAGCTGCCACATTGACTATGGACCCGTCTTACCATAAGCCATTACAGGATGCTTCACAGGTTGCACAGGAGCCTCAAATCTCTGGGGGGTGAAGGTCACATCCTGCTGTTCAGTAGCCGGGCTGTAGGGATAGTGTCTCCAATAGCGAGCGTTACCCCAGTAATCACTCCCCTGCTCGTAACTTTGGCTTGAGTGAGTGACTGTGCCTGGAGGATACTGGCCAGTCAGGAACATGTAGTCGTGGTAAGGATAAGGAAGCCAGATTCTGGCCTCTGGCCGGGGTTCGCTGGTGAAGCCTTGTCCAACAGCCTCTTGTGCACGAGGTGAATAAGGAGAGTAGCCATCCTCTTCTGTCTCCATCTCGGAGTAACCATCCTCAAGGTTGACCTTGTACTGGGACAGCTCTCCTGGCTGGTACATTGGGCCGGGTGGTGGGGGAACTGGACTCCAGTCCTCAGGAGCACTGGAACCAACGCCACCAGGGCCAGTCGACATTTCCTGATCGGAGAAGGGACTGGGAGGTGCAACAGCCCAGTCGATGTCTAGGAACAGGAATACAGAGGAAAATTAGCTTAACTTCCATGATCAAGAAGGCCAAGTAGAAACTTACTAGTAATGATGCCCCAAAACAAGACATTTAATTGTACGACCACGTATCATTTAAATCTTACCTTCTGGGCGAGGTTGAAAAACAGGTCCTGGTTGTGAAGAGCTGTAGCCTATTGGTGCAGAATTCGAGCCAACAGATGCTGATGGTTGTCTTTGAACAGCAGGCTGAGAAATACTGGGCTCCCACTGTGGCACAGGTTGATAAGATGGTGTGGAGACACCTGTATCAGCATTGTTGGGCATCACTCCAGGTGAAAACTGGCCAGAGGGGGCTTCCTGGTATGAGCCATAATTAGGAGCAGCATTCATAGAACTGCCACCATAGGATACACCAGGATTAATGCCTGAGTACAAAAGAACACAAGTTAGTTAGAAGGGAATTCAGCTGAAACATTTTACTAGTGTGATCATGCTTTACCTTTCTTAATGGGGACACAGCATATGCCCACAATGAGCAGAGCAAAGAGGACAGCCCTGAAACAATTTAAAATAAGATATATGAGCAACGATTTACCAGTAAACAGTCAAAAGGCTGTCAAACACCAGCCACTTACCCTGAGACAAACCGTGGAGTCATCATATTGAAGCCCAACACTGGAGAACCTGTCAGATGTGAAGGGTTTTAAATGCTACCAGAGACCAGCTCTGACCAATCAGAGCTTAACGAGCAATGGACAGCTGCTGGTGAATGACTCTCAGTAGGTGAAGCAAACCTAAGCAATTAGTCTAACATGGGACAGGTGCAAAGAGTTGTTGGCTTACTCTAGTTACAGAATGAATAATTAATCGATTGCATTTGCAGTAACGTATTTCCTTGTTATTCTAACAAAGTTTTGTAAAACATTGAAGGAATCTGATGCAATTTGTTTCAGCCACTAATCAATCAAATTCTTACATTGGAAGTTTGCCTACTAGGTGAACAAACTCTATGGAGAACAGCATCCGCACATACAAATCTGGGAGGTGCGTCCCTAAAGGCGCTGAGCGCCACAATTGGCAACAGGGTCATGGATCGGACCACATAAGCCAGCCATCGCTCCCCACTGTAGCTTACATTGCTGAAACAGTTAATGCTGGTTCTGACAGGAAGGTGTCAGAACTCACAGTGCATCACAATTTGTTGCTTATGGAGCTGCATAACATTATGACCACCTGAGCACCTATGGCTGATTGCTGTATATATCTGTGTGTATGTGTGTGTTTATATTTATTTGTTTGTTTGTGTGGCACTTTGTAACTGTGTGTTTTAAAAAGTACTATATCAATAAAGCTTTACTTACTTACTTACTTTTTGCTTGCTGCATTATGTCGTTGCCATTGTATTTACTTGTGCAGG